GATTTTTAAGACGTTCACCTTTTTCTAAAATATCCTGTGAACAGCAGTTTCATTCTTCTATTTTTCATATTCTTCTCCTTCTCGTACCAAGCATTTCTATTAGAGAGAGGAAAGGAGCGGAAATTCTGTCGACTACCATGGCCTTTTCGTTTCTCATCCTTCAGTGCTAGAGTGAAGAAGCAATATTTAAGTATGCATATAAAACTTTATAATTCATGAATTAAAATCATGTAATATTGCTGTTAACACGCCCAGGTTTAATTTTTAAAATATATTGTAGTTCTACCCGCGCCGCCTGTCACCACGTGTTGCCCGCAGGCCGCACGCGGTAGAGTAACACAAAGATGAGATATTGCTATTCTGGACACGCACACGCGATTTAGCTCACGCTCGACTATTCAAGTATTCACAGCCGACATTTTGCACTGACCTCTCTATTCCTCGAAGTTACGTACATTCAAATATCTATTGCAATTTTAACAGCGGTCCCGTATACACAAGTTTTGCGAAGTGGTAGTCGCGTACCTAAAGTCTGAGTGCCTAAATTTAATGGCGACTTTCTGAGTTGGTTTTCGTTTCTTGGTGTTTTTAACGCTCTAATACATAGATTGTGTTATATGCATGTGTATTGTATTTCGTGGGATATTGTACCTAAAACCTTGGTTCTATTGAAGCTGCACTTTTCTTTAAAAGAGCCTTTTTTAAAGTTTGCTTGTTACGTACATAGAATATACCACTTTCAATATGACGAATAGTACTACGCTTTACTACTAATACTATTAATTTCGAATAATTTGCTTAAACATAAATAATCTCATCTGTATATTGTTGCAGACTAAAATATTCATGCATACGATGACATAAGAGGTGTCAGGATGGTGAGGCTTAAGTTTTATCACTTCCAGCATAGTCAAAACATGTCTATCAATCTTCAGAGAACCCTAAGTGTCAGAGCATCGTCGTTGGCGGCTGGTATTTAATGTCAATTGCACGAATGTTTAACAGCTTCTGAGATGTGCGCCGAATAGTTAACTAAAAGCGACACGAGATGCTTCGGAATTATTGTTTAAAGCTAATTTGGAGTCATGTATTATTTTGGTCTCAAAAGGGAGACCGCGTTATGTGCTACAGGATAGCTTAGAGACGTGCCTCAAGTTTCTAAGTCTTATCAACAACATTATGTAGTATATATTTACATATATTATCTATAGATCTATACATATAAATAAAATTGGAGTGTCTGTTTGTAATATTGAAATATCCGTTTTTTTACTACATGCATATATTAATACGGTACATACACCAAATTAACATTTATAATAATTTTTGTCTGTCTGCCTATTTGTTCCGGTTAATCTCTAAAATGGCTGGACAGATTTTGACGGGACTTTTTTGGCATTATATATATATACCACAACATAATGTAATATGTCTATTATAGTAAGTATTTAAGTACCTGTTGTTATGAAAGCATGTTAGTAAGGACATATTTAACTAAGTTAGGTAAAAACCAAAAGTGTGCTTTTCCCATCACTGTTCTTCAACTGCTTTGTGTTTGAGCAAAGCCATATGGCATGAAGCTCGCCAATTGCACATATATTTTATAATAAAAATAAAAAAAGAAACAAGCGAATGAATCAGAAAATTGACATCGCTCACGGTAATCATTGTTTTGAAAATATATATAGGTAAAGATATACATATATGCAGGTGGGGCAAGATGGTAGAATGAGTAAGAAGCCCATAGTGAATCAAATCGTTACCAATTACTGGAAATGTATAGATGAGTCCATATTATGTTGATCTCCATGTAGTCCCCGGGAAACCAATGTGGTTATTTCCTAGTAAACTTGTCACGATAGGCTCTGGGGCCACTCAAATATTACGTAAGCATTATGGGGGCGAGGGGGTCTTTGCTTTGCTTATTTTACATGACATGGGGGTGGGGGAGTCTAGATGATGATTATATCATCGGTAGTTATGTACTTTTTTACACGAATGGGCAACCCTAACATTGTATTTGCTAAAAAACATTAACTGAAAAATGTTTACGTAAGGAGGAGGTAAGAGCTTTGCTTACTTTTGCTGACAAGGGGGTTGGAGGGATAAATAATTGTAATAAATCTGCTTACGTAATACGTGAATGGCCCCTCTGATCAGACTTCGATCTGTCTTCATCCAAGAGGTGACCACATTTTATAAATAGATTTTGTGGCATTTCATAAAATTTAATAGATTCAGTGATACAGATAAAAATAATCTTTCATTTTAATTTCTATATAATCTGTATTTCATATCAGACTGATATTTTAAACTTACGGTATTTTATCTTGACAACATACATATTAAAAAAATATTGTTTTATATTGTACAATTAGGACCGCTAGATGGCGTTGAATAAAGAAAATAAATGTTAAAAGATGGAAAAACTCCTTGAAATAGACAATGAAAGTCATTTGTTGCTATAACAGTTTATTGTTAATTATAAACATGATTGGTTACAGATTGAATAAATATTTTTAAATAATTATTCATAACATGATCATTTTCAGAGCCGTCATAGTTCTTTAATATTTCATTGGCAAGTAACTGTGGACCTTTAGTTATATGAAATACAGTCTTTATTCAAATGTGTTTACAAAACAGCCAATTTTTTAGGCGTCTGTGAACAGTACCTGATGCATTTTTTATTTATTAATATTATAAATGTATTGAAAACAATTTCGATTGATCGACATTGAAATGTTTCGACATAATATACATTATTCCAATATTTCGTAGTCATTGAATGAACTAACAGAGTATTTTATTACATACAAAAAGTGTAAATAAATAATTTTGAATAAATAATAAATTCTGTAGTTACTATATACATGTTATATTATGTTAGAGCTAGAGGCTATATTCGCTAATAATTTCCACTCAACCGAAAACTTTTAAAAAATTAAGATTGCATTATAAATCATAGTGACTGTCACGTGCGATTTCTAACGTGTTAATGAGCAGCGCCTTTAAAATTAAAAATACCCACATATATTGGATAAAAATAGAACTTATCTTCTATTTTCCATTTCATTTCCAAAAAACAGCAATATTCATAATAACAAACTTGCTGTTCATTATCGTTTAGAAAAAGACAATGTCTTTTATGGGAATAGGTATAAAATTTTACAATAAGATACCAAAGGATATATTGGAATTACCCTTAAATAAATTCAAAACATCTGTTAAATCATATTTTGAGCAAGGCCTATTACTCACTAAACGATTACTTGAATAGTGCATGGCAATAGTTTGCAGATTTTCATTTAATGTTAGACATAGACACCTATATAAATACCTATGCATTGTAAAAAACTGGATTAAAAAAAAAAGTAATTCAATTGAGTTTCTTGCCAGTTCTTCTCAATTGGATCTATACCGAACTGGACGGTAGGGAAACAATATAATGTAAAAACTTGACGTTCATAAGCGGCTAAAATGTCCTACATGAATAAATGATTTTTGAATTTGAATTTGAATAACTTTAAGGTTCATTTCTGTTTGTTTATGAAATTAACATTAAAAGATTATCTAGTGCTCACTAGATGGCGCTATACCTTAACATTGCATTATAACGCCTACTGAACTTCAGCTGCGATTCCGATGGGTTAAAGAGCACCCTCACAAACATGTAAAAAAACCACATAATTTAGATAAAAATAAAACTTATGCTCTATAACTTTAAGTTCATTTTCATTTGTTTATGAAATTTACATAAGAAGTTTGTCTAATGTTCACTAGATGACGCTCTACCCAACGTTGGAACCATAGACTTTCACAAGGCTTAATAGCATAAAATTCTTAGCCATTTTAGAAGTTTTCGACTGAGAGGAAATTGGCCACCAGAATCTGTTCGCTCACGGCCTTGTATAGTAGTGTGGCAAACTTATCTGATACGGTAGCTCAAATAGTTTTGACATTTTATTTCATGAATACAACGTATACCGACTTAGTATACTTACTACATATACTTAACCCTGTATAAACACAAAATGTGTCTCATCATTGCCAATATTTACGCAGTTTATATGAGAATATTATAATTATTCTATAACAAAATAACGTAACTAGAAACTTCACAATAATATACGTTTAGAGTATACATAAGCAACCTATATGTATTTAAAAAACTTACAGAAAAATTGAAAAACAACAACTATAAACACGCTATATCTATTAGGAACTGCTAACATAAGGTCATTCATAAATTATGCCACAGGAATTTTGTTATTTTTTAACCCTACCGCTGTCTTTGGTATAGTAGGTCATATATTTGAGAACCCTAGTGTGACGTCACATATTTTGAAATTGGAATTATATTCGTTAATATTCAATTAGTCAATAAAATCGACACATTTCCCAAGTTGATGAGCAAACGCATCAATCATCATCAATACAATGTGTAGCCACTCATGCATAAACGAAATATCTTCTTTAGAAAGTATACTCTATCCTGAGGAGATAAAAACCATCGCTCCTAAGAATCTCCTTCAATTCTTGTCCCTGACGGGTCTAGGTAACGTCCTTTAAAAAAGGGTGAGCTCAATAGATCTATGTAGGTCGCAGTGCTACAGGTCTAAGCACCTGACAATGGCCCAAAATCCTCAATAAAAAAATATTAGATTTTGATGTGACGTCACGAAATTTAGGACCCCTCCCATTGTCACATTTCGTCGGCCTTAAAGTGTGACATAATTTATGTATGACCCCAAAGGCACTCTCACATTATTAGAATCGTTTGGAGTTCCGTTTTATTGGTGCATTTTAAAAGGGGGCGGGGCGTATCAACAAATCCGCCAATCAAACGAGTCATCCGATGAATCCTAATAATGTCTGAGCTTCCACTGATGGAAATCGTACTGTACTTATGTAATAACTATTTCGAAGTGAAACTTCTATATAGACAGGGTGTATTAGGATTTTTCGGTCACGAAAATGCGTTACCGTTGCTAGTAGACGATATATCGCATTGTCCGTTGAAGTTTCACTTCTACTGTGCCCCAGCACACATTCCTTTTTTTATTATATTATAAGACTATATTACATATACTTGTTAATTTACGTGGCTATGGTAAAAAAGTTCGTATGAATAACGGTCTGTCTATATCTACTAATCATAACGAAAAGCATTTACAGAAAGACCTTTCCATTGGTGCATTTCCAAAAGAGGCGGGGCGTATCAACCAATCCGCCAATCAAACGGCAGATATCCGATGAATCGTAATATCTGAGTTCTCACTGATAAAAATACTACGATACGTATTTTAATATTTTTTTTTATTAATAATTTTATGTAAGACGGCTATAATAAAGAGCTTGTTTGAATAACGGACTGTCTCTATGCACTAATCATCACTAAAAGCATCTGCAGCGTTACCGAATACTATATTATAGCATTACTGAAGGTAATAGAGCTCTTGAACCCTTTATAGATCAAAGGGCCTACCCCTAAAAAGAACTAACCCTAATTGGCATTTATTCGTGTAATGGTGTCAATGTGAGTTTCATTTATTTTATAACTTTTAAAAGACATTTATCAGACTTTCAATTAGGTACTGTTATTTTCACTTATGCATAGAAAATAACCTTAATAGTATTGTTTAAGCTAATTTAAGTATATAAAAATATATGGAGATTATATATAATGCTATGCAATAGCATGGTATAAAAATGTAGCAAAGGGGTATATATTATTCCCATTATTTATTTCATATTGTATAACTGTGAGTGCGTGCGTCTGTAGTTGTAATAGTGTCGCACATGAATTTGCGTGTATGTGTGTGCACGTGCGCGATATTGCATGTGTGCATGTTTGTGTGCATGTGTGTGAGCGTTTTTTTTTTTTAAATTTTCTTTCTATAGATTGCTTATATATACTCTACGTATAGTTCTTCCGCTAGCGCTCAGCTTTATATTTGAGAAACCAGATTTTGATGTTTTAACGTCCGTGCTACAATTATAGTAATGGAGATTGAACAGTTAATACTGTACTATGAGGGTATAAGTCCTTGGGTCCGTTTCCACTGCGCGCCCTGACGCCTGTTGTGGTTGGCTCGCGAGGACTTGTGCTTCTCTTTCTTCTCCCTGTTGTGTACCACGTCCTTCTCTTGACCTTGACCTCGAGGTTTCCCCACCACATCCACATTGCTGGAAATAAAAAGGTACATGTTGGTGACTTAATAAATAAATTCAATACAATAATCTTGCAAGACTAATGATCCCATTGCTAGCAATGTACCATGTCAGATCGACCTCCACGCGGTTCCTCCTCAAACCATCGTGATACATTCCCGGTGAATTTGTCACGTTGGGCTAACTGATCTGACTTCATGTTTATCATATTACCTTCACTGGTGCACCGCCAGCGTAAACCGTTAGCGCAGGCGGGTGCACCATTCCATTATCATCCTTTAAAAAAAAAACCTTGAAAGGCTCGTTTACATTAATGTGTAACACAGCTGTAAAATTACAAGGCACGCAGGACAACTTAGTCTAAAGCCCGTGGTACCTTAATTAGCAACGCCATTCTGTATGAATACGTATGAATACTGTTGGTCGCAGTTAGCCTTTACAGCTCAACCAGACGATATGGGGCGAGGTTAGATGACATTCCAAACCCGCGGAAGGACTCATGAAGCGGCTGAAGGCCAACTCCCGCCAGACCGATATGACTTTAGTCTGAGAGCACTACTAGAGGTTCGAACGTCGGCTCAGGCCGTCGTAATTTCGGTCCCCTTTTGAACTGAACTGGGTATTAATCGCAGGGGTCATAAATGCTGAAAGTAGATTTTCATTTACAAATGCGACGGTGGCCAGTTACCGTCGGGTGGCCTATATCCTTATTTGAATACGTACCTAGGCGGTGGTGGTCGGTGTCCCTTCCCTCTCCTTGCTTGGAAGTTAGCCTCTCTCCTGGCGCGTATCTCCTCCGGGTTGGAGCAGAAGTCCAGCCTGTTCCTTTCACTTCCGCTCGGTTTCTCCTCTTCCACTTCAGATTCTTCTTCAGATTCCTCCTATAATTATATTACAACATGTTAATTGTTAATTTTAAACGCCTTTGGTATAAATTGTCTCCAGTATAGTCCCGGACAGCGGTTTCAGAGGAGCATTCTCCCGCGTAGTCTTAGATTGTAAAATAAGCTACCTGCCGAGGTTTTATTAAGATACTACAACATGGGGTTTTTAAAGAAACGTATATTAACGTTTTTAAGGATCGACAACGCGCACGTGAGACCCCTGATGTTTCAGGCGTCCATAGGCTATGGTTACATTCAAATGGGCTGTATGTTTGTTTTCCATCAATATAGTATAAAAAAATAAGGTAGCATGGAAGTCATATGACAATGTTATGTCCATGTATAGTTCATATATATCAAGACTGTCCTGTGACTGTATTATTGTATATAAAAACTTTATCTCGGTGGCTTACAGGTTTAGCACTCTGCTTTACTTCCATTAGTCGAGGGTTGGATTCCCTCGCACGATACAAACAATTTGTGGTCATGAATATGATTGTTTCTATTGAGTGTTTTCTATATATATTAATTATTTATTTAAAAAAATGTTTTTATGTATTTATATCAGTTGTCTAGCGTAAGCTCTGCTTTGCTCGGTACTAGATGGCGCTGTATGAAGGTAGTGTGCTAAACCGTTAGCCCATTGAGGCTGATAATATAATACACAGTCGGCATTCAATCCTAGTTCCTTACATGTTGCGTGCGGCGCGCAGTCTGCAGTACGCGCGGCGCCACGAAGGGCCTCCGCTCGTCATCCTCGGTCGCGGCCCTGGGCGGCTCCACGCCCTCCGCGTCGTACGTATCGTCATACTCGTCTGAGTACATGGCCGTTTCCTCGCACACCAGGCTGTTATTACATACAATTAAATTAAAATCACCACATATGGTTGACTGGTAGGTATATATTAAGGAAGGCGTTACATCTGAATGTGAATGGTTGTTGAAACTTTACAACAATATAGCTAATATATCACAATAACACAGATTATAAATTTCAGGCGAGTGAAACCGCGGGCACAGCTAGTTAATGATAAATAAGAAATAATAAATTAATGCAATTAACGTACCTCTGATGACTTTATATTTTAGAGTTAATTAAATAATTTCCTTCATTTCTGGCCCTTGATGGGTCTAGGTAGCGAACTTTGAAAAAGGGCGAATGCAATAGATCTATGCCGATCGCAGTGCTACAGGTTTACCTAAGAATAGCCCAAAACCCATAAAAAATATCTTATAATAATATTCTCGTGTCACAATGTTAGTTACCATATTTCTCCGAAATGACTTGATCGATTTTTATGAAATTTTTATATGCATATTCAATAATTCTAATACCCCTAAGTAATAGTGTTGTAGTGTTGTCCACCCCTAAATTTATATATTTATTTTTAAATTTTTTTGTTATAATGTGGCATTAACAATACATACAACCCTAAATTTTCACACTTCTGCCATCAACCCCTATTTTTTAACAGCGATATTAATATACATGGCAAAACAACATTTGCGAGGTAAGCTAGTACATGCATATATGTATATTCTTAGCAATGTAGGGTCAAATATAAAAAAAAAAGAAATGACTAACTTGTATTTGCTATATATATCGATCCTCTGTTTCACGTCCATCTTGTCGTCCAGCATGTCCCCTAGGTCCTTGTACTTGGACTTCTTCTTGCCGACGTGTATTCGCGACAGGTCCACGTCGTCCCGCGTCATTATGTCGAACTCGTCGCCATCGAACACGTTCAATCGTTGTATGCCGGTGTTGAGGAAGTGCTTGTCCAGGGGATCCTCCGGCACTATTGGCAGGGTCTGGTCTAACTCTGGAGAGACATTTTTATTTAATCTTAATAATATCATAAACGCGAAAGTTAGTGATTTTTTTATAGCACAGGGGACAAGTGAGCTTGCGGGTCACCTGGTGGTAAGTGATTAACGCCACCCATGAGCACCCACAACACCAGGGGAATTCCAAATGCGTTGCCGGTCTATTAAGAAGGAATAAGCTCTTTTCTTGAAAGTTTCAATATTTCGTATGGGTTCGGAAATACCATAGCTGGAAAGTGATCCCATGGTTGTGCGTGGCAAAAGGTTTCTAGAAAACTTTACAGTAATATAGTTTATACATCAGAATAACACATGGGCTATAAATTTCAAGTAGGTGAAATTCCGGGTACAGCTAGTTCATTTATATAACTAACCCAGAACTCGAGCTCAGCTTACTTTGGCACTAGATGGCGCTGTGTTAAATGTTCAGAGTTATTTTTAATAAATAAATAACTGTGGACAATAAGTACATAACCAGCTTATTATCTCTGATTAACGCGATGGTTGACTGGTATAGAATGCTATTAGGCATTAAGTTCGCATATATAGATGAAGTACCTTGTTCATGTATTACTCCGCTGTATTAAGACCGCCTTTTTTACCTTGTTTTAGTTGTTCAAGTTCTTTAAATAAATAAACACATATTACTTACTTTTCAAAGGTTCAGCCAAATTATCTTCCAATATACTATTTATAACTCTCTCCGAATTAAAACCATAGTGCTCTAAACATTTCAATATGAAACCATCACCTAGGTGCGGTAATATATCTTTCACTTCACTGATCAAAGACTCTTGTTTAATATTATCTGGTATTTCGTTGTCTGTGGACGGGCCTGCGTCTTGGTAGTCTACTGCTACAGCATGGCCATTCGCCACGACGCCATTTTGTTTAATAGTTTCAGGTACAGTGTCGTCCAGATTGGAATAAATGGCTTGTAGTATAAAATCAGTCTTTACGGTATCACTGGGATTATGTTCAGGGTTTTTTATATATATTTATAGCATAGGGGACAGACGAGCTTGCGAATCATGTGATGGTAAGTGATTACAGCCGCCCATGACCCTTGAGGATTACAAGTCCGTAATATAATAATAATTCTAAAATTATAAAGCTGCAAGTTTGTTTCTTTGTTTGATTGATCGATAAACTGAGAAACTGCTGGAGCGAAATAAAAACATATTATAGTGGTTCTGTTCGGCTTACGGCCACTGATTGGACTATTTCCTTTTGACAAAAACGCAATAGCATATGCTGGTAATACTCTATTCTTCCTAATTTAATTTAAACATTAATACGTATATTTGTAATTATGTGAAAGATTAAGAGCTGAGTTTCTTTTTAGCTCGAAAAACACTCCGAACAGAGATTTTATTTATAGATAGATTTGATTTGATTTGGTACGAAAGTCTGTTAGGCAATGTAATATTACGCTACTTGTAATAAGAAATTAGCCATAATGAAAAAGAATACAAAAATACAAAAATGGGGAAAATTTATTCCTTTCGAGAGTTTCTTCTGTCTTATGATTATTTCTATTAAATTCTATTTGGAGTTGAGTTATCTAGTGATATCAATTGTACTCAACTTAATTGCACAAAAGACTATAAACACATTTGTATTATAAGGATACATATCAGGATACACCTGCCGCAGCATCTCCAGGTCTTCATGGACTGGATAGCAGGCGTGGTAATCACGGATGAGCAGCTTCTCCGACAGCCCATCCATCATCACAGCCAAGAAGTCTTCTACATGTGTAGATATGTTACCTCTGTAAAGAGTATTACATATCTATATTTATCATTACATAGTATAAAACAAAGTTGCTGTCGCAAACAAACTACGCAACAGGTTTTTTTTAAATAGATAGTGATTCAAGAGGAAGGTTTATATATATAATACATGTACACCCGTGCAAAGCCGGGGCGAGTAGCTAGTATAGTATAAAACAAAGTCGCCGCCGCTGTCTGTTCGCTTATATTTTTAAAATTACGGAAAGGATTTTAATGCAGTTTTCATGCAGGTTTATATGAATAATACATGTGTGATATGTTGTAAAATGTTGTATGATTGTTTTGTATGCGCCAAATAAATATATTTTTCTCTCTCTCTCTCTCTCTCTCTCTCTCTCTTTCTTTCTTTCTTTCTTTCTTTCTTTCTTTCATGGTATGGAATAAACCGAAAAATTTCAAGATTTGTAACGAATTCGTTCGAAGCCGGGAGGGATCGCTATTATTATATGTAGTGATAAAATATAGCGATGCAAATAAACAAAACATCATCAGTTTATCAAGTAATGTATGTAATGATATTGATTAATAAAATTTAAGTGTATGTTTGTTTTAAAAAAGTCAAATTGACAGCTTTACACTAAATATGTATTATGTGTACACATCACCAGACAAACATGTTTTATGTAAATTGTATAGAAACAAAACTCACGCGTCGCTAAATATAGCGTTCTTGTAGATGGCGAGCACCTCTCGGAAGCAGTCAACGAGCTCCGCACGGGCGGCGTCCACGTGGCCAGTCACCTCAGCCACGTGGCCACCAACCTCGCCCACGTGGCTCGCCTCGGCTAACTCCTGTATTCGCTCATATAGCAACGGTATACCGTACTCGTACACTTGGACTATACTATAAACAAATATATAATGTCGTTTCTTTATTGGGACTTAAAAATGATATTTGATAAAGTAGGGTAGTGTAACAATAACAATCACATTATTACCTGTGTTATATGGGGGAATACCCGTGTTATAGAGGGAATTACTGCATATATGTATATCCTCACCTGATTACAAAATTTGTTTTCCTAAATATCTTAACACTCTTCGGGTAGACTTCCAGAAATATCCTTAGTGTCAGTGCCGTGTCTAACATGTGTATAACCAGATCTTTCAGCATATCTAACGTGAGTTTATCCTGATTCTTCGAGTTTGAAGGTCGTTTTATCTCACTGAAGCCTTTAAACGTTTCAGGAAGATTGGGTGGTTCATCATTATCATAATCTTTGTTGACTTGTAGAATTATATATTTGAAGGTCTACAAAAAAATAGTAATAAATGAATTTTCAGTGAGGATGGTTACACTTAGTGATTTACTACCCGTGTTTAAACTATAAGGATTGTGAGTTTAAAGCTGACTGTCATGAAAAAGCCAACAAAAATATATGTGTGTATCAATTCATATTTATAACTGATTCTCTGGTGATGGTAACACCAAAAACTAGTCATAATAATAATACTCCTGGACAATTCACACAGAGGTGTCAAGTCCCAAACTTTTTTGTAAATACATTACGTAATATAAATAAAAAATACCCAGAAATCATAAAAATGATTGTTTGTATTGGACAAACAATTATATTTATGAATAGAAATGTTTGTACCGTGCGAGAAATTGAACTCACGACCATTGAAAGTAACACCGTCCTCGCCGGCGAAGAAAACGACCTCAAACACATTATACCGCGCAATCAACTGGTTGCCTGTTCGTGAAATTATGACATCCTGAGCCGAAGATCAAACCCCTAGCCCTTAAACTAAAGTCGTATCCGTCAGGCGGTAGTTGGCATTCAGCCGCTCCATAAGTCTTTCCACAGACTTGGAGTGCCATCTGCACTCGCCCCCTATCGTCTTGTGAAGCTGAAAAGGCCAGCTGCGCCCAACAGCATTAGAGTAGTCCGGAACACTAAGGCACGCCCCCAGTAATTACTTTGCCATAATAACCGAAATAATTGGACAATTCACACAATGCCTTGAATCTAAAGTAAAACGTACTGCTAATATAAATGAAGAATACCTCATTAACAAAAGCGACTGCAGCCGTGGCATCACCTTCATATCTCGGCTGCAGCGCGAACACGCTCTCCAGAATACGCGACACGTGGCGACTGTTGTCCGCCCCATACGTCAAACATATATCCCATATAATTGGTATTGTAAATATAAAATTGTTGTACAAAACGTCCGCCATGAATTCTTTGGTCATCCATTGGGTCTGCAAACAATATTTTATTTTTATTTATACACTATTTACTTTTGCAATGGCATATGCTGCAAGGTGGTCACACTATTTTCCCAAATTTGAATTTAAAAATGATTCTGTATTGTAAACATGTACATTTATTTGTAAAGAATATGAGTGGAGTTTCTTGTCAGTTCTTCTCTTCTTGAAGTTATTTCAAACTGACGGTATATTTGACACATCATAAAAGTTGGTAATAGACCTACATGAATGAATATATTTTGAATTTGGAGTGTATTTGGAATTACAAACAACTATCTGCATAAAAACTTTAACATCTGCAACAATCTGAAATTTTACTACCATCCGACAGGCTGACAGAGCCACATATCACGGAGTAATGTACCATGTCACCAATCTTTACTTTAATGATTAGAGATTATGTTTTATCAATTATGGGGCATGAACTAAAAAATATAGTCAACTAGGTGTCCCGGCAAATGTTGTTTTGCCTTAAAATTAAAATAAAAAAAATAAAAAAAATTTAGGGGTACTCAATACGCTCACAAAATTTAATGAGAATCGGTCAAGCCGTTTCGGAGGAGTATGAGAACGAAAACTGTGACATGAGAATTTTATATATAAGATTTTCATTAAGATTTGAAATTGGTGAATACACAATCTAACTATAATCTAACAATAACCTAACAATAAATACTTGTAACCTAATCTAACAATAAATACTTGTTGAATTGTGAGCACTCTTATTTTTAATTGGTTGACAAGATCAGAAGATAAGCACATTGAAATATTAAAATTATATACCTTGCTTTCTTTATTTGTCACAAGTCTGCTAAAAATAATGAGCACTAATCTTCTTATTTCTTCATATAATTGTTCTATTTCTCTACTATCATGTAGTGGTATGTATGGTGGATTTGCCTCTTGTAAAAATGATACTAAACTGTCCATACATTGTGGATGATATAGGATGGTACTCCAAAACCTGTAATAAAGAAAATTGGCCAAAGTGCTTAAGTTATGATATTTGGAGACCTTATTGGCATTTGGAACTGTGTCCAACCACTAGAGTCGGGGGAAAGGGATTGTTAGTAATGTGGACTCATGACCCCATTACTAGCAATGTACCATGTCAGGTTGACCTCCATGTGGTTCCCCCTGGAAACTATTGTGATAAATTATTGTTAAATATGTCACGATGGGCTAACTGACCTGACCTCATGTTCATCTTATCACCATCCACTGGTGTAAACCGTTAGCGCAGGCGGGTGCACCATTTCATTATCATCCATAAAAAAAACCACTACAGTCATTTGGCACAGTGCCTTACTGCCAATGGTTATAAGTTTGACTATTACCTGATGCAAAAAAATGTATATATGTTATAGATATTTAATTTTATTATAAAAAATTAAATATCTATAACTAATTTAAAAATTTCTATTTGTTATCTTGTAATCACAGAATAAATTATCTTGTAATTCTAAATCGATAGGCTGTGTTAATTGTACAGAATTATTTAAATTATCATTTACAGGACTAAAATTAGTCAAGCTGATCCAGTTAGTTATTTATTGTTTTGCACACAAAATTATAAGGCTTTAAGTCCGCCACATATACATGGCGGACTTAATGTCTTATAGCATTCTCTACCAGTAAACTGTAGCATTGATCCCAGATAGTAAAGCAGTGATCTGTTCTGTTGCCACAAATTTTCCTGTAGTAGTAGTGTATTTCCTGATGTAATCAGTTGCTTATTTTATTTGTTATTTACCTGTGATGCTCTAAACTAAGCAGCCACTTCAGATTGTCTAAATAAACTTCCATCTTTGACTTCCATGCTGAGGCCGCTCCCAGAATTATAGCATTACCTAAAGGAGGACTCTCATACAAAATGAAGTCTCTCTTCTCCACCCAAAATGTGTCCTGTAAAATTAAATTACCATCTTCTGTTTATGTTTGTATTTAAATTTTAAAAGATATATTTTGATGGCTTTGTTAATTTAGAAATTGCAGTGCTGCACCTAGCTTCCAATAGTAGCAGGTTTGATTTGTGATTTTTGTTGGTGTAATTATACGAAAAACAGGTATTGACTGAAAATGTTGTTGTACCTGCCCATGTTAACAACAAAGTGAAAGAGGTGACACTGAGATCAGTATCACCTTTTTCAGCTTCCAAGCAGTTTGATTAGTAAACTGTGTTTTGGTTGTGGGATTAGAATGGGCAGTGAAATCACAGAATAAGAGGTAAGACATCTTAGTACTCTGGAATAGCATTGAATTATATGTTATGATATTATATCACAAGTGTCACATAATAATCTGATGTCCATAGAGTTGTTTATGTATAGAGGCAATAGTAATGACTGCCTGTTTACCATTCCAAAAAAAAAATGTATTCATAAATATGATTGTTTCTATTGGTCTAGGTGTTTTAAAATATATTGTTGGAGAATTTATAAAAAAAAATATATATTTTTAAATATTCATTTGTCTATCACCAATAAATTAAGCTCTCCTCAGTTAGTACAAGATATTTCTGTGAGAAAAAAATAATTAATAAGTTAATAGTTGCTTTCTATAATACTCTTTTTTTATTTAAACAAAATATTTTATTATATTTAATATTCATTCTATAAAATATAATTAAGTTGTTCCATTATTCGCCAATTAAAAATGTGTGTACTTTAAAAAATATACATTACTAATAAAATATTCATTTTAGAATACAATAAATTATGCCTAATATTTTCCCAACCAAATGTTTTTTTATGTACACAGAATAATTATAAAAAATATTTTAATTGTAACAAATGAAGAAATTAAATTTAAATTAATTAATTACACAATTAGTTGCTATGGCAGTTAATTCAACAATCTGATTAGATAATCATAGTCTTCAAATCACCGTGAACATATTGCTCAATATTATTATAAACAATGAAACATTACCAGTGCTTTGACTTGCTGTATAACGCCCGCATTTGTTACTGGTATAGTTAGTATGTCCACTGGCAAACACTCAAGATTCTGTTCAAAAGAAAATTATATAAATATTTATAATAAATTATTATGGCTGTACACAAACTAATCATTAATCTTACCGTGAACACTGCACACTTATTCGACATAATTTCTCAATATAAACATATATCCTTAGCTTAATATGATAAAATAAAGACTGCCAGAAATATTAAACGTTCCAATGTTTGGATATTATATAAGAGAAAAAGAGTATTTCAATTTTGGAATTTAGGAAAAATAATTTAGAAAATTAAATGAAAAGTTAGGGAGGAACAAGAAGGTCGACAAATCAAATGCAATGCAATTGCATTTGACATTAACACTCAATGTGACAAATTGATTGACATCAGTAAATCATACTGATATATTTACTTTCTCTATGAGCTGTATACATAATACAATTTGTAATTCTGGTATATTATGCAAAAAAAGTGTTAAACCAATAAAAATCGATATTTTATAAAACTTTTGGGAGTTGTAGTAATAAGTTCCGTTTCATAATTGCAAATGATATATCATAGCAAAATACTAGATTTGAATTGGTTGCAAACAAAAATTGACATATACGATGTTGCATAAATTAATAAAATGTTCGAATCTAAATAGTGCTAAACTCAATGATAATCAATGTTATTGTAAGGTACTAGTAGAGTAGAAACTGAAATTTTGAATTTGTTTCTATTTGATAGCCAAAGTCTTAGATAAATTAAAAAATATATCTGACATTGAACAAGAAAGTTGTCAATGTCAAGCAAGTCACCTGTGCCACAGATCACGTAGACTTAATCACTGCGAACAATGTTTTAAATAGTCAACGTTATCTGTTTTTTTAATTTTTTGTTTACTTTCCGACTTTTAATGGTTTATTTTACTTCTGTTTCTTTTTACTTTTTCTCTGCCTTCACTTTACAGTTTTCATTGATATCATTGTCATGTTCGTATAGTTTCAAGTTTTCACAACAATTAATTGGTTGTAATATTTATATGTTTTTATTTTCTAAATATACTTAAATTTTTGTAAAAATATTAGATTTATCCATTAAATATGAATAAAAAGGGTGCAGACCCTAAAGTTAAAAAAACTCTAATAAGAAATTATGAACAGAAAGTGCGTAAGACATCACCTAATCCTGTAATTTACGATGTTGCTTGTACATCAAAACAAACCGAAAAAAGTCGACAGTTCTCACAAAAGGACAAAGAATTAAGTCAGCCCACTTTGTGCTCTAGCGAGGCATTGGCAAGTTACTTATCTGACGTAAAAAAATCATTGCCACCACCGGCAGTTGAAGATTTAAATATAGAAAAAGGAGAACTTACATCTAAAGTAAGTTGATAAATTATACAAACCTAATTTTAGGAACGGAGGGTATCATATAATATCATAAAATTTGTAGAAATGAATAAATACTATAGTAATAATAATAAACAACTTTTATTACTAATTAATTTTTTTTTATAATTGTCGACTTCAGAGATCCTACTTTACAATTATTACATTCTCTCTGAGTAGATTATTTATGTATAAATTTTTACAATAATACTTTGCATGCCATAGCTATGGCAAAACACATGATACCTACATGTTTTAATTATCATCTTCTGTACTGTGTTTTTGAGCAAATAAATTATTATTATTAATACTAGTTCTAAAGTAGATATCAACTAGTTATAGATACCAGTGCCTTTTTGTTTTGACACATTCATAAGATAACAAAAAATACAAATAATAATAAATCATTAATTTTATTTCCAGGTCACAAAAAAGCTTAATTTTCATATCAATGATAGAATATATAGGAATTTGATAGCATTAAATGCAAATGTGGACGAACTGAAAACTACAAAGAACCGAAGACCCACTAGTGGTATGAAACAGTTAAAACGGGATCTGGAACCAAAAATAGAGGACTTCTACCAAGACGAAGAAGAGACTGACATAGCTCCAAATGTGCCAACAATAAAACCTAAATTCAAACCTGTTAAAAAAAGTTATGATGGTGATTTACACCAGTTGGTGGCCTCATTTGAAATCTTATGACATTTACTATTAAGAATAGTAAAAATAATGGAATATTTTATTATTTTATTTAGAAAAATGTATTTAGTTATTATTGTACTTACTTATTACACATTTAAGACTGCATTCTCAGATGCAATAGTCATATGTATTGTGAAATATAGGTAGCTACTAAATTTGTCTGCATTCCCTTCTATAAATATACAGTATTAGTTGATATGATTCTCATAACAAACAATTTTATTGGTTGTATAAATTGTTAAATAAATTATACCAAACTCTTCACTGTTTCATGTATGATATTATGATATCTTATAATATCTACCAAAGCATACAGTGGATAATACTGAAGTAGAAACATCTATTCATTTAAAGTGCAATTTTCATTCTAAAAATATTGAATAGTAGCTGTGTCCGCGGTTTGTTTGAAATTTATAGCCTATATGTAATTCTGATGTTTAAGCTATATTACTGTAAAGTTTCATCAAAATTCGTTCAGTAGTTTTTGCATGAAAGAATAACAAACATCCATCCATACTAACAAACTTTCGTATTTATAATATTAATAAGATTTTTTATATTACCCTGTAGGAGGGAATTCAGAGAGTGCAGATAATTTGGTAGCCTATACTTATATGTAAATTTGATAACAAGTGCCTCTCAGAACAAGTATTTATAAGAATGTTGCCTACTAATAAAAAATGTTATTATCTTAGAAATAAAATAGTTTTATTTTTTTAATATCGGCAAAACTTTTAGTTCAATTTTTAATGTATATGTCACGCGATTTATTAGCCAAAGCTCCATCAATTTTGATATTATATTATTTAGTTACCTAAGTTCCAATTATCAACTTGTGGCATTAACTGTTCTGTCTCGAAACTTAGTATTACTTAATATTACAAGTGAAATAAAGTGTATATTAATATCTACCTATTCATTGAAGTGAACAATGTTTTTGCCACACATTTTATGGGGCTAGAATGTAGAATTTATTTACTGTTCTCAAAATATGCATGTATACGCTATGTAACACACAGTCACAGACAGGTGCGCAAACAAGTGTGTTCAGCACCCAGGTTGAGCTTGGTATCACACACAATATTTTAAAACGTCGCGCCATAAAAATTCGCAGTGCAGATTACATTTTAGAATTCGGATACAGTATGCAGGAAAAAAAAAATGTTTATCATTGCGATATAAATAAAAATATGTATAGATAATTTTAAGCGCGGCAACATAATCATTATCATTAAAACATGCAAAATGAGATAAACGGAACATAACATATTTATTCCATTTACTGCATGCAATAGTTTTCAATTCAACTAGGCATTTCGGAACGTAACCGCGCGCCGACTCGCTCGCTCTGATAGAAAGAGATGTCATAGTTCCTTCTCTTCTTTCACCTGCATTTTGCCAATAATTTTGTTTCATTCAGTCAATTCTCGTCTTTTGCCATTGGTGGTTGTGGCAAGTTTTTGTGGAAATTTATTGAAAGAAATTTTTGAATAACAATAAAAGAAAAAATAATTATCTCACCATGGCTGAAACGGAAATAATATCAAATAGTAGTGAAAATAATGATCAATTTTTTGAAGGTGTTGAAAAACTTATAGAAATATGGTTCACGCCGGCTAAAAATGCAGATTTAAGAAAGATCACTCGGTAAGTACCTACTTACGCATTTATTTCTGTATCATTTCTGGATTGCAAAATTTAGAGTAATACAAGGGTTTTATTTTTCTTGTTATTGTTCTGATCATTTATTTTATATTGCGCTGTAAATAAAGTAATTGTACTGTAAGATATCGAAAACAAGGAATACATAATATTTAGGTCGAACTGTGTTTGAAGTCCCGGGAATGTAAAATCTTTGTATTATTGTTATTGGAACATTCTGGATCAGCTGTTTAACTATTTCTATCACCGTCGGGCGCCGGCAGAAAGCGCGGCCCGGGTTGGCCACGGGCTCCCGGTCGGAGCCGCACCACGACGGTAGCGCGTGATTTGAATTTATTCATTCTGTGGGTCGTTGGCAAAATTTACGATGCAATCATGTTGTTTCCTAATCAATTTACATTTTCGACTTCATTTAAACCCATTCAAATTAAAAAGTAAATATTACATAACGTCTAACTTAAATTATTAAGTCAATAGTCACATTTTAACCTCTATAGTTAAGGGAATAAGTTATTTTCCATTACATACCTTCAACGTAATTTTTAAATGTCATTGGGTTGATTTTGAAGCACTGTTCTTTAAACTTATCTCTAAAACTAATTTTCATATAAATATGAATAATTAAATTGAGTTAGATTCCTAATGTTGTAAATTATTAATATATTAATTCTATTAATAAAGTATTAGTATCAGTGTTGTCCATAAAATGATACTATCATTTGAATATACATAAATATTTAGTAATACTCATTGAATTAAAATTTTAGTTCCTGCCTGTATATAGTAAGGTTCAATAATAATAATAATTATTAATATGCTTACCATGAATGGATAGGTGTGGGATATTTTATTATATACCTAATAAAAAAAATAGTATGATTGATGATTGAAACTAACTGACTGATAAGAAAGTAACCAATACTCTTTTACATATTCATGAAATTATTATACCCACTAGTATACCTCAAAGAAGCATGTATCTAATAAATTAATGACATATTAACAAGGCATCATTATGGTTTAATTAAAAAAAATATTGCAAAACTTTTTTTTTATATGTACATTTTGATGACAATAACAAACAAAAAATAATTAGTGTCCAGCCATTAAAGGAAAATAGGGATAAAAATTTTTTATGTGTATTTTAGGGTAAATAATTAAAAAAAATTACAAAACTTTTTATTCATATGTACCTTTTGATGACAATAACAAACACAAAAAAATAATTAGCATCTAGCCATTTATATGTATATATCCTGTCCAAGAAAAATACAGATTGTTTTTTATACAAAGAATTACAATAAATAAGTGTTTCAACTTTTTTAACCTAGCAAATTCACATAGTGCCATCTAGTTCCAAACTAAGCATAGCTACTACTGTGGTTACTAAAGAATTAATGAAAATATTGAAATATAACATGAGTCCTAAAATATAGTTTTATACAAGTCTCATTAGTTACAAAAATTGTAACTAATATTTATTATAATTGAAATGGATCATGTATACTACTCATCTATCTATAATACTCATTGGAGTATCTGTTTGTTACATTGAAATAACAGTTTTTTACTACATGCATATGAATATAAATAAGGTACATACACCAAAATAACATTTTTTACAATTTTTAACAGTCTGTTGGCCTGTTTGTTCCGGATAATCTCTGAAATGGCTGGACCAATTTTGACGGACTTTTTTGGCTGGTAGCTGATGTAATAAGGAGTAACTTAGGCTACTTTTAATTTAGATAAATAAAGTTAAATTCCACGCAGACTAGATGGTGGGTACAGCTAGACCTACAATAAAGTTTTATACAATTTTCAGCCAACAATGGGAGAATGTGTTGAAGATAGTCCGCTGCGAGATCATCTCTTTCACACAGAGCGAGCAAGTCGATGCATATGTACTTAGGTAAGTCATAGACTGTATCTGTTATCTATTGTTATATAACAAACATTTTTGTATCAATTCAGATTCTTGTCAGTTCTTCTCATATGAAGTAGAGACCTCAACTGGTCCGTTAATTAAATATTAATATAATATTTTTTTATGACTGGATACATCCATCCTATATGAATGTATTTTTTTTAATTTTGATATTGATTTTGAGACTGGACAATTAGTGACAATCTCTTTCTATTGGGGTGACTTAAAGATATTTTTTTAGATATGTAAGTTTTGCCTTTGCTTACAATCTTACTGTTGAAGGAATGTAATAAAGAATGTTTAAGCAATAATTTAATTTTCAAGAGTCATAAAAAGTAACAATTTTTATGAATTTTCCGTATAAGAATCAATTTGAAGTTAGTATAGATTATTATCTATGTTTTGATGGTAATTTAATAGCGGTATTGTTTATATGTATATAAACGATACTCTAGCTAGAACTAGCTACTCGCCCCGGATTCGCACGGGTGTACATGTACTATATATATAAACCTTCTTCTTGAATCACTCTATCTATTGCTATAACTGCATTAACAACTAAATGATAAAAAGAAACACTTCAAAATCCATTGCGTTGTTTCAAAGATTTAAGCATACATAGGGACAGACAGCGACAGCGACTTTGTTTTATACTATGTAATGATAACGTGTCACGTTGTTTGTCCGCGATGGACTCCTAAACTATAAACCGATTGATTTGATTCGCATGTTGTATGCAATTTGATCCAACTTGAAAGAATGGATAGCTTACATCTCAGTTTATAGTCGCAATATTATTTTATTCAAGAACCTTAGCCACAGCAACGCGTGGCCGGGTCTGCTAGTTGTTATATAAATAGATATTTTAAAAATAACTATCTATTTAAAAATAGAGAGATTTTTATAGTACAGATAAAAGTATATTAATAAATATTTATATGATGTAATAGATAAAAATATTTATTGGTATCTACCAGATAACAGTTGTTATACTGTCTCTTCGAGATATGAATTGCAAATACTCAACCTTTTCTAATTAGAAAAACAAATTGCAAACGACAACACATATCCTGACCAATATTTTTACATGCTTAATAATTATTGTATATATATTTATTAGCAGAAAAAATATAATCATAAATACGCTGTTTACTTAAAGAAAAAAGAAGGAATTTAAAAAAAAAACAAGAAAAAAAATTAACACAATCAGACCTGAGAGTATTTCTTCTAGGGAAAAGGGGCTGACTCAGCTGATACTGTGAGAGTATCATTTAGCCCTGATTTTAATTTAGATCCTCTCATATCTATACTCTATACATATAAATAAAATTGTAGTGTCTGTAATATTGAAATAACCGTTTTTTACTACATGCATATAAACACATTTATATACATGTAGTAAATACACCAAAATAATATTTTTTTGTCTGTCTATCTGTCCGATTGTTTCGGCTAATCTCTGAAATGGCTGGACCGATTTGGACGGGACTTTTAGTGGCTGTTAGATAGATAGATAGTTTAGCTGATGTAATAAGAAGTAACTTAGGCTACTATAATTTTAGAAAAATAAAGTTAAATTCCACGCGGACGAAGTCGTCGTAGTAATAAATTTTGAGTGACATAAATAAAGTTATTTCTTTGTGTATAAAAAAATGTGGATAGCGAATAAGCTGACGGTCCACCTACCACTACAATTGTACATTTTGACCATAAACTTCTCTTATTTATGTTACAATTATTAGTGATCAAAAAAGTAGGTACAGTCCTTACAGTAATGCCCTAATAATTGTCAAGTACATTTAATTTTCTAAAAAAAAAAACTTTATTCAAGAAGGTCTGTCGAGTGATAAACAATTATGATAATCAATGAAATCTACTGAACTGAGAGACGATAAAAACTGTCTCCGTCAAAACCTCTATTACTAGTTATTTTTCAACTTTATGTTAAATGTCGATCTCAATGTTGTTAGGCGCAGCAGTTTTTTCTACTACCGTCACTATATTGTCCAAATTATTTATGTTAAGACCCTACTAACTATATTAATAACTAGCTGAGTTCTTCCCGCTTCTTCGTTCCCGCGCAACTGCTTCTGCATCACACTTCCATGACATTTATCTTTATAGTTCGTCCAATTTACATAATATTTTTTTAAATTATAGCCTATGTGTTATTCCGATGTATAAGCTATATTGCTGTAAAGTTTCATCATAATCCGTTCCGTAGTTTGTGCATGAAAGAGTAACAAACATCCATGCATACTCACAAATTTTCGAGTTTATAATATTAGTAAGATAAAATTATTCGTGTTAATACCTTATTAACTATATTAATAATGTGTATTTAACACAAAGTTTAAAAATAACTTTTAATAGAGGTATTTACGGAAGCAGTTATCGATCGGCTCCGTGGTTTAAAACCTGGTTTATCAGACGGGAATGGGAGATAAGTGTCACAACGATAACACGCTTAGTCTTAACCGATTACGAAGTGCCGTTGGCTCATGTACGGGACAGACGTGCAGTCTCTAATCTGGTGCATATTTATCCAAATGTTCTAGATTGTTATATATTATTATATTTACTGTATGTTATATACTTTTGTTTATTTTCACGACTGTTGTCCTGAATTGGCGGTGATAGTTATTGTTAAATGACACTTTTTAAATACATACTAGCTGTCCCGACAAACGTTGTTTTACCATATGAATTAAAAATTAGGGGTTGATGATAGAAGGGTGAAAATTTATGGCTGTCTGTATTTTTAATGTCACATTATTAAAAAATAAAGTATTACTACTTTGTCGATAAATAAAAAAAATTTTTGGAGTGAGCCACACTTAAAATTTATATAAAATAGTTATAAACCTATTCTCAGACCTATATATAAAATTGAATATATATAAAATTTCATCAAAATCGGTCAAGTTTCGGAGGAGTATAAACACGAAATCTGTTACACGAGAATTTTATATGTCAGATTTAGATAAAGTGTTTTCAAAAAATGTTTCCAATAATATAATTTTAATTTCAATGGTAAATTCAAAAGCATTTCACCAATTATAAATACCAAGATATCATACCTACATTTCCTGTAATTTCCTGTTCTTAATCCACCTTGTTACCTAAATACAGTTTACAGAGCAAGCTGTTTGGCAACTTAATACAAAATCTACCTACTAGTCTAGAAACTTCGTATCGTAATCGATAACCCTATTCGCATCGTAATACACTCCTCTTAATAGAGGAGTGTATTCAGCAATAAAATTACAATGTAGCTATGCTTCAATATTCGCTCTATATCTATTCAGAGACCTTGAGAATCCTCTCACCTAAACGCGAAAGCAATACTTTCAATCGAAATTATTCCGTAAATATTTACATTCCGCACTTCTCGGCTTACTCTATTAATACAGTAAATATGAAAGTGTTTTTTTTTCGTTATTCTGAATTCTTTTTAATTCCAATAACCTGTATCTTTTATTTTATAACTTGTTATTTTATATAACTGTTTTGGGTTGTTCAAAAGAATGAGCGAAATATTTTTTTTTAAATGCAATTTTTTAGTTAGTGTAATTTTGAAAGAAACTTGTTTATAGAAAAACAAGTGACTGGTGCGGGAACACAACGACTATTTTATTAAAAATCAGTATAGTAGTGATAAATATGTGTATTTCCCAAAGACGCTCACAGCGAAAAGTAACAATTGTTAGTCAAAAGTGACATATAAAAAACAGATATAAAAAATAAAAAGTTTCTAAATATGGTAGACAAGTTGCCAGCAACAACTAGTGTGAAACGTTGATATTGGTCGTCTTTTCCTATGTACAAAATTACATCGAGTTTAATAAGTTATTATAGAAAATTTTCATGGTCACACGTTTTGTATGGAAGAGAATCGGGGACGTGCAGTCTTGAAGGAAGTAACCATACAACAATGAACATACAAACAGTATTAATGAATGTTGTTATTCTTTCCTTGTTTGTGTCGTGTAGAATATGGAAATTTTGATATGGATACTTATTGTTAATTATTTACTCGTGAGATTTGCAACAGTCAACTAATAAGTGACGCCATTTCATGAGTCAATGAAACACTGTTCATTTATACTTGTAGGTGTAAGTTGTAAACAATGTCACTATTTAATGAAATTACTCAATTAAGAATAAGGTAAGCTAATAATTAATTAATACGACCAATTAACATCTATTTATGTTATTCATTTTTATGTTATAACTAGCTATACCGGAAACGTTGTTTTGCCATATGAATTAATATTGTAATAAAGAATAGGGGTTGGTGATAGAAGGGTGAAAATTTTGGGTTGTATGTATTTTTGAATGCCACATTATAACAAAAAAAAACTAGAAATATAAAAAATATTGTTAGGGTGGACAACCGTTAATACGTAGGGATTTGAAAAATAGATAGTAGTAGGTTCTCAGACCCGCATCTTTTTTTATGCCGGGGTCCTTGTCTTGCCCTTTTCGAAATGTTTCCTCCTAGAAAATTTATTGTTAGCATTGAGTAGTGTTGTAGCAATCGCGTAAGCCAGGACCCGTCCCGGCTTCGCGCGGGTGTAAATGTATTATAATTATAAATCGTCCTCTTGCACTCTATCTGTTGCTAAAAACTGCATTAAAATCCGTTGCGTAGTTTAAAGGATCTAAGCGAACAGACAGCGGAAGCGAATTTATTTCATATGTAATGATAAAAGAAACCCTATAAGAAAGTATATCGTCTTTGTACTACAATATACCTATACGTTCACATTTAATTTCATTACTATTTCTAATCGTTTGAAATGAATTAATTTATTTCCATGAGTAACACGGTACATAGTAAAAGTTGTATAATATTTTGAGGTTCCGCCACATGTCCCGCCAAAATTGTAATAGGCATGCAAATTCACCTGGATGGTCACCGGTCACAGCTAGTATAGTATAGTATAGAAATATACAATTATATCAACATACACGAGGCCTGC